AAACCCTAAACCCCTAAATCCCTTACGGCTCTGAGCCCTGCACCGGAGTGGGCGCCATCGGCACCATGCGAACCGTCGGTTGCGGGGCGCCCGCAGGCTGCGGCATCATCTGCCCGGGTGCGGCATAGGCACCGGTTGCTGGTGCGATGAAGCTGCCGGGACGGTAGTAGACCTGAAAGAGCGGAACAAAGACTGTGCTCATCTACTTCAAGGATCATGGGACTTAGTAAGTAGGACTATAACTAAGGTAACTATGCTTGTAACCCCAATTAGGGGACTTATAACCTTACTTACTAAGTCCCATGATCCTCCAAGTATCGGTGTAATTTCTGGATGCCCGCCCCAGCCCTAAAACCAGTACCGCGCTCATTGATCCGCCTGTGTTACGCGCGGATATAGCGCGCGCTTCAGGTTCAGAACTCCGAGAACTTTGCGAGGGCTGGTGCTACTTACTACTTGCTGCCGAAATATGCAGGTGCCCAGAATCTTCCGAATCAAGAGGAGAAGAAGTAGAAGTAGGGAATAGCAGCAACAACGTCTCCAGGAAGTAGGATTGATGAACCAGTAGCCGTGGTAGTGGTCGTCACCAGCAGCATGTTGGAGGAGGAGGAGGAGGAAGAGGAGGATGAGGAGGGGCAGCAGCAGCAGCAGCAGCAGTCGCAGTAGTAGGAACAGCGGCAGTAGAAGTAGCACAAGAAGCGGGCTGTCCAAGCATGCCCAAAACGTCCACATGCACGACCATTATGGAACTGGGGCCAAAAACCATCCTTAGTACGGCTTTGGGGACCCGCCTGAACCGCCGCAAAGAACCTACCTTTTGCGGAATGTAAGGAGATTGAGTAAAATAAGGAGCCCTACACAAAAAGGTTTCTTAGGGCCCCAGTACTGTAATTCCAGAATCGTGGTATGTATGGTAAACCCTAAACCCCAAACCCCACGTATGCACCCTCTCGGATGCTGTCTCTCTAAGATTCGACACACTTTAGCGGCTCTTTCTCGTGTGGAAGAAACAAAAAATCAACAGTGTCCTACTTTCCAGTTCACAGTTTAGGGTGAAGTTGCAAGCCCGAGCAGACTTGGGGTTTAGGCTTTCAGTGTTGCGCTTTATGTTTGGGGTCTAGGCTTTAGGCTTAAGGAGAAATTCGAAAAATGAGGGATGGAAATTCCTGGAACTCTAGCAAGCATCCGCATGAGGAAACCCTGTAGTAAGGGGCCCTCGGCTTCTCGGCTAAGGGATACTGTGTAGGGGCCCAAAGAAGCACCTAACCTGAAGGGTTGAGGGTTTAGGGTTTCCTAAACCAGAAACCCCTAAACCCTAAACCCTAAACCCCTAAACCCTAAACCCTAGAGGCACACAGAGGCCTATACAGGGGATGCCAGAAAACCCCGCTTGTCTCGGCTCCTGCTCCTAGATCCGAGACTCAAACCCTGAACCCTAGTCCTATGCTAAGGCAGGCTGCTGATAATATCGTATTATAACATACGGTTTAGGGTTTAGGGTTTAGGGTTTATATAACAGGATACAAGAGAATATTCTATAATACAATACAACAGAGTATAATATAATATAACATAACATAATGCAACACAACAATATAATACAGTATATTACAATATGATATAGTATGATACAATACGATGATGTAGGATAAGACCGTATAGTATAATACAATACACTCTAAAACATATCGCCGAACATCATCGAAGATAATTTGTGGGTTCGGAACCGGCATCCCGGAATGATTGAAATTCAGGCTCAGGCCGGTTGGCCGTTACCTGAGGCGCAGAGGGTGTATAGTAAACTTAGGGTTTGGGGTTTAGGGTTTACGGTTTGGGGTTTAGGGTTTAGGCCCAAAAAGTTGGAAACCGATATACGACGACTAGTGCTGGGATTCCCGATACATTCCTTTGAAGGATTGAGGCTATTGGGCTTCTGACTTGTTGGCTTCTACTGTAGGGCTTAGAGGGTTAAGGGTTGAGGACTTTAGGGCTTAAGGTTTAGGGTTTTGGGGTTCAGGGTTAAGGGTTTAGGGTTTAAGGTTGAAGGTTTAGGGTTTGGGGTTTAGCGTGTAGGATTTAGGGCTTAAGGTTTACGGTTTAGGGTTTAGGGTTTAGGGCTTAGGGCTTAGGGCTTAGGGCTTAGGGCTTAGGGCTTTAGGGTTTAGGGCTGAGGGCTTCGGGCTTGAGGTTTAGGGTTTAGGGCTTAGGGCTGAGGGTTTAGGGTTTATACCCCCAAAAGCCTGCTCTCTAAAGCCTCCTTAAGATGTAAGACCCAGGTCCTAAGCGAAGGCCTAAGCTATACTTTTTGCATTCAAAGCACTTGCCATGACCTGAGCAGACACAGCTCCAGTCTTCAGCTGAAACTGAGGATTTCGGGTCGGACTAGGACTGTCTTGTGAAGGTAGTGTTAGGGTTTAGGGTTTAGGGTTTAGGGTTTAGGGTTTAGGGTTTAGGGTTTAGGGTAGTGTTTGGGGCTCATGGCATAAGGCTTCTACATCGGGTTGTATAGGGGCTCTGCAATATAATCCTGGAAAGGAGGCACGGTCAGGTTTGAGGTCCCGAACCATCATTCACGAAACGCCAAAGCCCTCAAACCCTCAAAGCGGGTTTAGGGTACAGGGGCTTCCGGTTTTAAGGTGAAGAGTATGGGGTTTGGAGATGAGGGTAGAAGCCTGAAGCCTTACCTTTTGACCTCAACCCTAGACCCAGAGGGTTTCTGCACGGGTTCTTGAAGGGTGCTTGCAATTTGTTGTGCAACCTACGGGTCTGGTAGAACGGTTCTACACAGGATTCTACAAGGGTTTTATAAAGGTTTGATAAAGGATTCTGGCAGTGTATTGTAAGGTAGTTTTCTGGCAGCATGCTGCAGAGGTTTTGCAAGGGTTCTGCAAAAGCTTTCTGCGTCTTTTTGTCACGGTTACAGGACTCCAGAACCCTGAACCCTAAACAATCCTAAACCCCAAACCGCAGTCGTTGGCTTGGTGAGGGTGCCATGAGTATGAGGGCTCCACTTGCCGAGTTGCAGGCTTTGAGGCCCGGCTGGGGTTTAGGGTTTAGGGCTTCGGGTTTAGAGTTGAGTTTAGGGCTTAGGGCTTAGGGTTTAGGGCCTCAATCGACCTTCACATTTGTTCAAGCCAAGCGGACGAGCATCATCGGCATCATTTGGGATGCCGGCAGCGATAAACCAGGCATGGGCGCGAGCCACAACCGCTCAAAACTCCAGTTGGTGGTTAGACGAATATCGCTGGGCGGCTTGAAACATAAGAATCAGGAGGGCTTTTCAGCAGAATCTGGGCCATTCCAATGAGCATCAGATGGGCATTGGGGGGAATGCCCAGCTCAAACCTGTCGCAACTTTCGATCTCACGCTGCTGTCGTCCCTGCCTGACCGGTCGGCTTCAGCAGCGCTTTCCCTGAACGGCTTTTTGGCTCGTTTTTTGCAAACAAGCTGGGCGAGCATCATGAGCATCATTTGGGCCCTGGCGAGACATGGGCGTGGGCGAAGAAAACTCGAAAGCAACTTGAGCCAGCATCATGAGCATCAGCTGGGCTTGTTGCGGGCAGCTCCGGGCGCAACCTGACGTGTGTCTGGGGCTTCTTCGGAAAAGCCGGGCCAGCATCATCAGCATCATTTGGCCCGCTGTCGGGACTTTGTGGGCGAGACTTTGGGGTTGAACACACTTGTGCTTCTGATCCTGGGCCCATTCTGGACCCTAAAGCCCCTAAACCCTAAACCCTAAACCCTAAACCCCAAACCCCAAACCCCAAACCCTAAACCCTAAACCCTAAACCTAAAAGCCCATCGGGGCTAAATCCTGCTCCTCAGATGCGGTGGCTCTGAGTGCCTCGCGCAAACGAGATAAGTGCCGTGAAGGGAGCGGATGAGGGCAGAGGCTTGAGAGCTGAATGCGCTGAGCGGTGCAAGAGTGTTAGGGTTGATGATGTAAATCCTAAACCCTAAACTTTAGGGTTTAGGGTTTAGGGTTTTAAATCTTGCATTACCCAAAAATAAGAAATAGACCATAATTGCCCATAGTTTAAGGTCCTTGAGGTAATGCAGGATTTATCTCATCAGCCGTGGGGCTTAGGGCTTTTGGTGTACAGTTCTGGTGCGTTAAAAGCAAAGGGACTCTACGACTCTAGTAAGTCGTGTTTAGGGTGTAGGGTTTAGGGTTTTAAGGGTTAGGGTTTAGGGTTTAGGGTTCAGGGTTTAGGGTTTAGGGTTAATTACATAACTACGACGACTACTGCTGCCACTGCTATTGCTGCTACGGCTGCTGCTACTACTAATAATAAGAATACTACTGGTACTACTACTACTACTACTACTACTACTACTACTACTGATACTACTGCTACTGCTGCTACTACTGCTACTACTGCTACTACTGCTACGACTGCGACTGCGACTGCCACTGCCACTGCCACTGCCACTGCCACTGCCACTGCCACTGCCACTGCCACTGCCACTGCTACTGCTACTACTTCTCCTACTACGACTGCTGCTGCTACTGCTGCTGCTCCGGCTCCTACTGCCACTGCCACTGCTGCTGCTACTGCTACGGCCGGTGCTACGGCTGCCGCTGCAGTAAAATTATTACTACTACGACGACTACTAGTGTGGCAAGTATTAAAAAGCCCTAGTACGGCCTAGCACTAGACCTAGCACTTGTGCTAATGTCTACCATGACGACGCCGGCGACACACGACGACGACGACTGCCCACTAACATTGATTGAGAAAATGTCGGCAATGTTCCCATCAGCGAGGTACTAGGAGCAACTTCGACTATAGTACTGTACTCTTCAACATGTCGGTAGCAATGCAAGAACGGGCTACTAGAAAATGAATGGTAGAATAACGCACGGACATAAATCATACTCGCAGCAGAAAGGCGAAGATCCACCAGTGCCATCTGGTGGTCACTAGTCTCCATAATTCACTCCAGTCATCAGTTTTCATCGTGTTTTCCACGTAATTACCATCTCGGCCATCATCACTATCATGATTTCCCTTAAACCCTAACCCCTAAACCCTCCCTCATGGTGCTTCAAAGCCTCGGGCTTCGGATCGGAGCCAGTAGGGTTTTGTCGTTTCGAATCTGCAGTTCCTGAGTCCGTCGGGGGTTTGGAGCTCAGGGAAAAAGGCGCCTTTCTGTGGGTTCCAGCAGGGGACGAAGACTTTGGGGTTTAGGGTTTAGGGTTACGATTGACCCCATGAAACCATAAACCCTACGCCCCATACCGACACCCGAAGCCCTGAACGCTAATGGAGCAATGCTGATGACTATATAAGGCAACCAGACTGGAAGCGTATATAGAACCTAGATTACCGTAATAAACCCAAGTTTTAGCATTCTATATATATATATAGTTGTACTTCAACTTACCCCCAAACTCCATTTTCTACGGTTGTTTTTGAATTTTCCGTTTTTGGGGGGATCGCTACGTGATATCTTGTGAGGATCTGGCCTCTCTCTCCTCGCATTTCGGACAGCGCTTCAACGCACAGGTCCGAGAGCCCTGGCTGAAGCAGGGGTTCCTAAACCCTGAACCCTACTAAACCCTTAAACCCTAAACCATGAACCCTAAACCCTGAACCCTAAACCCAAAACCCCCAAAACCCTGAACTCTAAACCCCAAAGCCCTAAACATCAGTACTGCTAGCCCTGAGGGTTCCTGATGACTTTGAAGGCCCCTATAGATCAGTCAAGAAATTGGGGGTTGTGCAAAAATTACCGGGAGTTTACAAGGGTTATGAAGAACGGTATATATATATATATATATCTAGGGTTTAGGCCTTTGCTAGGGCTTCAGGGATCTTTGGGGCCTTGAGGTTGTTGGGTTTTGGGGATTTCAGGCTTTAGGGTGTTAGGGTGTTTGAGTCTTTAGGGTTTCGTTTGGAACAAGAAATGCTGCTGTACATAAGGTTGTTAGATGCTGCCGTTTCATTGGTTGCCGTATGATGACTGCTGTTTGTTATACCATGTCCCTGCCGTTTGGGTAACAGCTAAGAAGTAGTTGTACCATGCTTTGCATATTCGTTCTGTTGCCGTGCGCTTCGCTATTGGTACTCTTGTTGATACGACCGCTCCGTCCTTTTCATCTATTTTCTGACTCTGTTGTTACCTGCAACAGATGACCTGAATAGGTGCTCCCCATCAGCGATCCCGATGATGTCTCGTCTTGGGGTACCCTAACGGGCCAAGGCAAGTCACCTCAGCCCATATGCCGCGGACAAGCGGAATGACGGCAGCTTCAAGCGATGGTGTCTCGGCAGGGGAGGGTGCAGTCTGGCAGGTGCAGACACCATCAAGCAGTTGGTTGGGAGAGAAGCTGAGTTGGTGACCCTTGACCGTATGACTCTGGATCAAGTCCTTTGACAGAGCGTCGGAAACCTCGGCGCAAGTCTTCTAGCATGAGCATGGAACAACACTGCAAAGATTTGTTTCAGCCAACTTGTTTTCTAGGCCAGCCAAGAAGCACCACTACGAAGGTACAGAGACACCCCTGTAAGAGGCTGCTGGGCAAACGCCTGCGCCCTTGCGTGCCCTTGGTGTCTGGACGTCGTCGCCATGGCGTTCGTGACGAAGTTCGCCTTCGCCATGGGGCTGCTCCTGGGGCCTCTGGCTCCACGGCTGGTCGGCTTCTGCCTGCTGATGATGAGCATGTGGTCTCTGAGGCTTCAGCCCCGGAAGGTCCTTGACATGAGCTGGCTGGACCTTTTGGTGGCCCTGAGGGCCACTTGGAGGCGCCGAGACCGCAGTAGCCTGGAGCAGGAGATCAGCAGGAGCTGGGGCTCCGAGGTGCTGGTGACACTTTCGGTGAGATCGGGGTTCGATCTGCTTCTGTCGGCTTTGGCGCTCCCGAAGGGATCCGAAGTTCTTTTCATCCCCGGCATCACCATCCCAGGAATGGTTCAGATAGTGGAAGCCCATGGGCTCCAGCCCGTGGGGGTTGACCCACCTTCTCCGACGCAGATGCTCCCTGCGAAGCTGGCTCCATTCGTGACGCCACAGACCCGCATGGTTGTGATCTCGCACCTCTTCGGCACAATTCACAAGGCCGGAGACCTGATCCGCGAGGCCCAGGCTCTGGGCGTGCTGGTTGTCGAGGACTGCGCGCAGTCCTTCATCGGCAGTGCGCCGACGCGCTCCCTGGCCTGTGCCTGGCCGATGGGCTTCCACGGCCACGAGGTCTCCGATGTCACGCTCTCCAGCTTTGGCAACATCAAAACCTTGACGACCTTGGGAGGGGGCGTTGCCCGTGTCCGTGACGCCAAGCTGCGTTCTCGCATGCGGGAGATTGAAGCTGCATGGCCGGTGCGG